AGAAGATCTGGTGTCCCTAGAATCACACTGGCCTTCATGCCAAGGAAGTAGAGCTGAGCCCCTAGCTGAGGGTCATACCACCCTAGGTTGGGCACTTCCCTTCCCCATGGTCCTCCAAATCCCTGCGTCCTCATCTGGGAGCTCTCAGTTGTTAGTCAGGGTTCTGATGGTCTTGGTGGGAAAGGAAAAACATTAGACCCACCGAGTCTTAAGAAAGAGGTGCTCATGTGCTTTTTGAATTTTTTAGGTTTTTAAAACTTCCTGTCTTTGTATAGCTTCCCTCTCCATGCCTTGTAGGAGCCCACAGATGATCCTTCCTTCTCCTGCCACAGCAATCCCCAAAGGTCTGCTTTTCCCCACCAAATACACATACACCATCAACAACTAAGCAAAATAAAACTGCACTGTTCATGGTGTCTATGGCTTCATATTTCATGTTGGGGTCAATTCTCATCTTTCACACTTCCTGTCACTGGCCACCTCTTTCATTTTGACCTGCTTGAAATTTACCAGCTGTAAAGAAAAATAATTTTGGCTTTAAACGGGTATAAATGTATGTTCCTATCACATAAAAAGTGTCTGGCCTGGTAGGAAAGCTCTGCGTAGCCCAGGCTCCTTCTAGTGTCTCTGCCCATCTCACAGGTCCAAAATGGCTGCTTCAGCTCCATCCATCATGTCCACATTCCAGGCACAGAAAGGAAGAGAAAGGAAGCGCACTCCTCCCCATGTAGAGGACAGTTCCTCAAAGTCACACTCCTGAGTCTGACATTTGTCTCCTGTTTTGCCCCTTCTCAGCTGCAAGGGAACCTAGGGGATGTACAGTAGTCATTCTCCCAAAAGACTCCATTATAAGTACAAAGAGGCCAGCGCAACATAGCGAAACCTCGTCTCTACAAAAAATAAAATTTAAAAAACTTAGCCGGGTGTGGTGTCATACACTTTTAGTCCTGGCCACGCGGAAAGCTAAGGTGGAAGGATCACCTGAGCCCAGGAGGTGGAGGCTGCAGTGAGCCATGAACTTAGAGGCCCTGACAGGAAAGAGGGGCAGGAGAGCGTAGGGGAGGAAGAAGGGGGAGGAAGGGAGAGAGAGAAAGAGAATAAAGGAAGAGAGGGAGGGACAGACAGATGGAAGGAGAAAGAGAGAGAGAAAGAGGAAGAAGGAGGAACAGAGAGAGGGAAGACAAGGAAGGAAGAGGGACAAAGAGAGGGAAGAAGGGAGGAAGGAAAGGAGGGAGGGGGAGAAAGAGAAGGAAGGGAGAGTGAAAGGGAAGGAAGGGAGGGAGGGGAGGAGAGAGAAGGAAAGAGAAAAAAGATGAAAGAAGGAAAGAAAGGAAGGAAGAGAGAGAACAGGAAGAAAGGGAGGGAAAGAGGGAGAGAGAAAGGAGGGAAGGGAGGGAGGGAGAGAGAGAGAAGGGAGGGAGGGAGGGGGGAAGAGAGAGAAGAAAGATAGGAAGGAAAGAAGGGAGGGAGGGACTGGAGAGTGGGGGAGTTCAGTTGGCGGCTCAGCCACACCCACTGCCACGGGGGTTTCGACCACAGGTGAGCTTTCAGGGCATGGCCAGGTGGTGTCAGGAAAGGAGGCTACACCACGCCCTCAGGTTCTGCAAACATGAAGCACAGGCGGCCTCATGCCCTGAACCTCAGCTGCCTACCCCACAGCGCACCTGAACGAGGTGGAGGACACGGACGCTCTGCAGCAACCTGCGCCCAGAAATCTGTGGGGTGCTGAGGTTGTGGACAATCCCCCCCACCAGGGGTGAGCTCGGTCCAGGCTGCATCCGACCAGAATGGATCTTCTCGGGAGGTAGGCGACACCCCCGTGGCTTCAGGGAGGTGCCAAACGTTCTGGTTTCCTGGGAAAACAGAAAGGGGGAATCTTCTGTTCCCTTCTCGCCCGGAGAGGTTCCGACTCCGACTAAGCACCGAGTCCTGGAGTCTACGAGCCGACCCTCCCTGCACTCATGCAAGATCGCAGGGCCCTGGAGGAAGGGGACCGTAGAGAGGCGCGCCTTGGGGTGTGGGGGATCCCAGAGAGGAACGCCCTGGGTGTGAGGGACAGCGGAGAGGGGTGCCCTCGGTTGTGGGGAACGCTGGAGAGGCATGCCCTGGGTGAGAGGACCCTGGAGAGCCCACGATTCGGTTGGGTGAGGGCAAGGCAGAGCTCCCTGTCTGCACTGCTGGGAAACTTTGAGCCTCGCCCATGGAACTGAGAGGCCCGCCTTGCTTGATCGGACACAACACGCTTCCTCTTCTCCTGTCAGCTCCGCGGGGCCGGCCTTTGGTTCTGCACCTTTGCGCTCTGGGAGCAGCACCCAGCCTCAGTGGGTGTTCCGCAGAGGCACGGACCACGGCTAGATGAACATGCCAGCGTGGGGGCTCCACCACCTGGACTGCCCAGCCTCTGCTCTGCACACCGGGCCACTGGCTGGCTGGCTCCCTCCCAGTGTCCAGTCCGAGTCGCCAGGGCCAGAGCCCCAGGGCAGCGTTGGAGCCTGGGCTCAGATGCAGGCCACCAGTCCTCTAAGCACAGTTTGTTTGTTGCAGGTTTTTAGAAAACAAAGGCGACCCTATCCCATCGAGAATGCGGTATCTTGGTCAAGAACCTTTCTGCCCATCCAATGTGCTGTCCAGGGCCCAGGCTCTGACCACCAGCCTGCAGTGGAGGCACAGCGAGACCTTCCAGGGGGCCCCAACAGTTCCCTGAGCCCTCCACCATCAACCGCCTCTCTAAGGACATCCTCTCAAGCTGCTCTTTCAGTCCATCCTCAGGGGAGTTCTTCCAGGACCCCGCCCCACCCCTGAACAGCAGCCCAGAGACCTCCACTCCATGGAACCCATACCTGCCAAGCCCTAGGCTGCCCAGCAGGATCCAGCGCCTTTCACCCAGCAGAGGGAGGGCACCTGGACATCAAACCACATGACTCAGAGCCACAGGGGACCCACACAGGTGCTTCCGCCTCAACAATCCTGCAAAAATGATAGATATCCAGAGAATACATGAAATGCCTCTCACCAGCCTGAAAAGTGGGTCAAAGATATGAGCAGGCAACTCACCTCTGCCGTAAGAGCAGGAACAATCAATGGACACACTCCGACACCCCAGGTTAAAGGATAGCCCGGGCCCACCTCTCCCCACAAGGGGGCAGCACTTTAAGCTGGGCACCCCAAGTGGGTGTACCTCATCTTACTTTACACTCATTTATGTTTACATCATCTTATCTTTGTATTGTGTCTGAAATATTTAAAGGTTTTATATGCAGCTGAGCATTGTGTGGGTACCATGATTCCATTTTTATAAAACCAAGAAGGATGAGTATGAAGGAGACAGGGGGAGAGGAGGAGATAGGAGAGGGAGAGACCGGCGTCTTGGAGAGAACGTCTTGGGAATCCAGACAACTTGACATTTTGTCTATATTGTAAAACATCTCAAGAAAGTGTGAAAGTTGCCAGCATCAAAATGGAGTCACTTGTGTTAAAACTCTGACATACCCAGAAAAGGTCATGGAGGGTTCTCATGCACCTATACCTAACAACTATCACAAAAGACTGCAAAAACCACAGCCTTGCACAAAGAAATAACCCCTGCAAGGACACCTCCTAAGCAACCGATGTCCAATCTGGAACTGACACCACCCTTCTTATTGGTACTTGAAGCCAAGGATCATTATCTCAACACAACTTAAGGTAACCCTCCTCATTTTTTTCTTTCAAAATCCTTGTCTTCGTTTCCCTTCCTGAATACACACACCATATTCCCGTTGCAATGCTCAATCCCAAATACAGTATCATTTTCTTTTGGAGTGCCTGTTATTTAGGTTTTAACAAAAGAAAAACTGGAAGCCACAACCCCCAGGACTCAGTAAGGCTGACTCAGAGTAGGCAGTGGGTGGAGGTCCCCCTCTGGGATGACCTCAGCCCTAGAGAGCCCGGTCCACCACCAGCCCAGCTCAGCCACATTCCTGCTCCAGAAGGAGCCAAGGTCTTGGGGAGCTGGGTACGGTACCCAGGACCATGGTCCAGCGTGAGGTCAAGGGGTTGCTTCTTGGAGATGCCCCAGAGGTCAAAGGAGGCTGTCAGGGTTAGGCTGCTGCCTGGGTGCAAGGTGACCAACTACCTCTGTCTGCCCCCTAAACACTGGCTTTGGGTGCTGACACCAGGAAAGTTCTAGGCAAACGGGAACAAGATGGTCCTGCCTCCCAGGTAGCACAGAGTGGGGTGACAGGACAGGCCCAGAGGTGGCAGGTGAGGAAACTTCCCCACCCCAACACTGAGCACCTCTTAGTGAAGCACCAAGGGGGACCAGGATAGCAAGGTTCTTGAAACCCCCAGGACAGCACCCAAGGTGAGAGGTCTGGGGGATGGCCATGTAGGAGCTAGGGGTCAAGGGCACCACTCTGCCACTGCCAGGACAACCAGCTCCAAACCCTTGGCCCGCTGCCCAACTGACCTTTCAGAACCAGTGGGATCCAGTTGAGCGGCTCTTCTATAGCCTACAGCCACCTTGCAGCCCTGGGCACCCTCTCCGGCCACTCCCTGCAGCCCTCTACTCTCCCTGCCAGCCCCTCCCCTGCAGCCCATTAGAGACATGATGTACCAGAGGGCAGAAACCAGCTACAGCTTATGCCAGAAATAAAGCAGCTCAAAACGTTAACATCTTCCTCTGCTCAGAGCTAATTACAGCAAATTTCTCTCTACATGATTATAATTTGGGGTGGAAAACAGAAAGAAAGCAAACTGCACCCTGCCCTTAGCTGGTATTAGAAGCAGCCCGAGATGGCTCACCTGTGGCTGCCCAGGTTCAGGCTCACCTCAAGTGCCTGGCACCACCAGGGCTTCTTGCTCTCCCCTTTCCTTCCTCCGGGGGGAGGAGGAAGGGAACCTGGGGTGGCCACACTTCTGCTAGCCATTCCTGGTGGAGAGGGGCAGTCAGCCCATGAGGGCTGCAGGAAGGGGGGACCACAGCAAATAGAAAGCGCCTGCCACACACAGGACAAAAACTATCAAAGGAAGACATTTTATTTTCAAGTTTCTATGGAGATTATTACAAACAAGTAGACTTAAAAGAAAAAACACTTAAGTTTTATGTAAATATAGCTTTAAAATAAAATATGATCAGGTGAAATAATAAATAATGCCATCCCATGACAATTTTTAAGATAAAGGTGTGTCTCTGCCCAGCCTTGACCCCGTTCTCACCCTGCCGGTGCCCCATGTGTGTTCTGTGCCCCATCCTCCAGGTGGTTCACCCAGCCTTCTGGTGATATAGGAATAAAATGGCCACACTGTCCAAATCTTGACTTTATTTTTAATATAAAAAAATGCAAATTTGGAAACCCACCCTACTTTTCCCCCTAACATAATGCTTTACCTCTTAAAAATAAAAATAAAGTACTAATTCTATATACATCACATGTACCATACAAAAATGTATCCAAAGTTTCTATTGCTACCAAAGTGTTCTAAATTAAAACAAGTTACAGAAAGCCCCTCATTGTAAACAAAAGATTACAAGTTACAAAATCAAAGTACACACAGTCCAGAGTCATTTATACAACAACGCAACACATTCTGCTCCCAAACCAAGTTGAATTTTTATGTGCCTGTATAAAAATGCATATCAATATACTTTTGCAAATTTATTTTTCATTATAAAGCAAATGAATACACTTTCTACAATAAATAATCCGCTGGGAGGCACACCTGTGGGGTCTGGGGGCGGATGGGAAAATGAGAGCAAGGAAGCGCCCGCCCCTGTGGACAGGGTGGCGGAGTGTTTTTGGTGATTTGCAAGTGATGTACACAGCATAAATTTATTCTCCACCTCTTTCCACAAAGTACCATTCAAAATAATGTCATTTTCTTTCTTAAAATACACATTTGTCATTGTAAATTTACATCCCGTCTTATTAAATAAGTGGTACTCTGTGTAAAGAGTATGATTTACAAAATTATTAAACATTCAAAAGTCTTTTAAAAAAAAGCTACATATCAAAGAAAGTGACGCGAGCAGCACCACCTGGTGATGTGTGACAGATGCACCCTGCTGCCCGGACGCGCCCACCCCACTCACAGCGCCAAGACAAAGATGGTTTCATAGAAAACTTGGAAATAAAACCTCCCCCCTCCCCGGGGAAAAAGAATTAAAGAACTACAACTAAAATCAGAATAAGTTAAGTTTTGAACAATATACAAATATGTACAGTTTATCAACACTATGGACAAGAGCTGTGCTGGTGGCAGATGCGGTGGCCCCAGGGCGCCTTCTGCCAGAAGCCCATCAGTCAATGTCACTGAGGTCACTGGCCGGTTCCCCATGGACGCGGCTCAGGTGGTTCATGGCACGATCAAAAGCAATCCGCACAGCCTTCCGGATGCTGGAGTTCCTCCCTTCCATCATCTTTAACTTGTCTATAGTTTCATCAATACCGAGGGGAACCATTTTGGACTTAGGAAGCCATTGCCTTTTTTAAAAAAAAAGATGGAAAAGATAAGAACTGTGTGTACATTATACTTCAAAATGCTCCATGTAACAATCTAACAAATTCCTCCTCTGGATAGGAAAGAGCCTAGTGAAGTACCATCAAGTCTAGTCCAAATGGCGCCAGGCCTCCTACAGGAACAGACAGAACTAAGGCAATAAGTGTACCCTGTCAGGTAAGGCATGAAGACTATCACCTCCTCCACCTCCAAAATGTTTCCCATGTATCTTCTGTGTCCTGAGTGATAAGTACAGGATCATGTGCAAACACATATGCACACAGACACACCCTAAGCATAGGACCAGGGTGAGCCCAAGGGTAGAGAACGGAGGACAGAGATGCTCTGGGACAGGTGGTCAAGGAGACCCTATGAAAGGGACCCTCAGCCGGGCTTGGTGGCTCACCCTGTAATCCTGCACTTTGGAAGACTGAGGTGAGTGGATTGCCTGAACCCACGGGTTCGAGACCCGCCTGGGCAACTTGGCAAGACCGCATCTCTACAATAAATCAAAAAATCAGCCGGGTGTGGTAGCGCTCGCCTGTAGTTCCAGCTACTTGGAAGGCTGAGGCGGAAGGATCGCTGGAGCTCAGCAGGTTGAGGCCAGGAGCGGCCACTGCACTCCAGTCTGGGCGACAGAGTGAGACTCCAACTCAAAAAAGAAAAATAAGAAAGGGACCCTCAGACAGACAAGGCTGGCATGAGCCTCCCTCGGGGTCTGACAAGGAGTAGCTACCAAGTGGCCAAACAGAGGTCAGAGCAAGTAAGAGAAAGACAATAGGGCATGCTGGTAGGTGCGGTGCCTGCGCCACCAGCCCCACTCCAGGCATGTGGTCACTGGGACCCTGCACCCCTGTGCTAAGCTGGCTCCACAAGTAACCACAAAGCATGTGCTCAGGCCCCAAATGCATGGGGCACAGAGAGGGCCGAGCTCTGAGGTGTGGAACAGCCCAGAGCCCTGGGAAAGATCCACACAGTAGCTGATGGCCCCTGTAAGAGGCACAGATTGTCATTGTGTGTCTTACACTTGTAGGGGTCTTGAAGTCTGAATGTGGCATATTGAGGTCCCAGGTGCTCTGGGCAAAAACAGCCCAGGGCACAAGTGGGGCCTCCTGTGGCAGGGCAGACATCTGAGCAGAGCTGGGTGATGCCAAAGCAGGGTGCTCTAAGCAGAAGGCCTGAGGCTGGGCCTGGGGCAGGGGTACACCCCAACAGGGTGCCAGCATCTGGAAGCCCAGCGGATGACTTCCAAGTACTACTGTGGGTACAGGTAAGAAATGAGAAGACACACTGGGCCACTTGGGCCAGCAGGACTCAGGTGAGAGGGAGAGGAAGCTGTTGGAGTGGAGACAGACCCCTGCACGGCTCTGGCCTCCACAGTCCTGCAAGGGCCACTGGCAGTGCCTCCCTCTGCTGAGCCAACAGCGGAGCGCCCACCTTGGACATGGCAGGCAGACGGGCTGCTTGTCACATGAATGTTTAGGGTCACTGAGGAGTGGTTTCGCTGTAGCTCCTATGTGCCAGCCCAGCACTAGATACTGGGAACCAACACCCACCCCTGGTCTGTCCCTGAAGTCCAAGGCTTCTCAACTCACCAACTTCTCTTATTATCAAAAAACAGAACGAGGAACAGCTTCTCATCGGACTTGGTCTGCATGTGCTCCCCTATCTTCAGCACATCCAGGGGTGGGGCTGGGATAGTGACGCCGTTGTGGTGGCCAGGCACTCGTGGCATCTTGGGATCAATGATCTGCCCAGGAGGGACACACTCAAGTCACAACTGAGGCTCATACCCAAAGCCACACACCCAACATGACTGTGTCTGTTGCTGGTGCTCCTGCCCCCTCCCAGCTGCACGAACATGTGTGGCCTCCTCAGCAGAGTAGGTACCACTGGGGTCCCAGGTGCTGACACAAGGCTCCATCTTACCAGCGCCGGGTATGAGGGGTACCCGCTGCACTTGGCCCACACCACTTTCAAGGGCTCCAGAACAGAGGCTGCAGCATCAGTTGAAATCCACATGCTGTTCTGACCAACCTCTGGGGAAAGAATTGAGTTGTCAGCCACAGAGCCGGAGCACTCCCCCAGGACCCCAAGGTTCAGCAACATGGCAGGGATCTCCCAAGCCTTTCTCGAGCAGAAGGGCAGGCACATGAGCACCCACCCCTGGGCCTGGGGGAAGGTAAGTGGCACTACCCCACTGCCCCTCCCGTAGAGGCTCTGGTCCATGCACCCTCTCACTGCCCCTCTAGCCCACCCAGAGGGCCCACTCACCTCTCAATGACCTATAATCTTACGGACCCCAAGCTGGAAGGCCTGGGACTCAATGTCCTCAACATCCCCCCTTCCAAGCACCCCTGGCTCCAAGGACAGGGCTCCCAGCATGTTCCTGATTCATCTATGCAACCAACACCCTAAATTCAAAACCAAAGTACTAGCTACCCTGGCTCTCAGTCCAGCCCTCCCTCAGCACACCTGACCACAATACTCCTGGAAGCCACAACTATGTTTCTGGAGCCCACCAAGCCCAGACTGGCTGCTGGTAACAAAAGGTACCCCAACCCCTAGCCCTCCACACAGCAGCCACAGACTATGCTCCAGAACCCTTCATCAATTGGCCTCCTGGTGCTGTGTTCTAGAGACACTGACCAGGAGGTATTAACACAAACATAGATGGAAGCACCAAGCAACTCACCTGCCGCAATCCTGGCTGCCTTGGCATAGTTCCCATTTTCAATGCAAGATATCAGCTCACTCCGGTCCTCCAGTGTGTGCCTTCGCACAAGGGCAGGCTTGCCCCGCCCACACTTGGGCGTGCTAAAACTTGAGAAGGTAAATCAAAGTTGAGTTTGAAAGTTTCAGAAAGTCTGAGTCATAGCTTCATCCCAACTCAGGCTGCGTTGCATGAAGCTGCCCACGCTGGGTCTTGTATCCTGCCTAACACCCAGGGAGCTGGGACTGTGGGATCTAGCAGGGGTGAGCCTGTCTGGGGAACCTTCAAGGAGGCCATGTCCCACTCAGTTGCCAAAGTGGCCTTCTCGGGCAGATAGGCAGGGCTGTGCTCACCATCATTTTGCTAAAGGCAAGATTCTGGGAAGAAAAGATAAAGTGCAACCTGAACTTTAGGTTCTAAAACTGTATTCATCCTTCATGGAGGTTTTGTTCCTACTTCGATTAAATTATATAGCAGATTAGTGTGCAACATGGAAAACTGCCTCTAAAGAACACACATACACAGATCCCTCCCAGATTCTCAAGAGGGCACTAGTATGGGAGGAAGTTTCCTGGTTTCTAGAATGGTCAGGCAAGACGCTGAAGGCAGACGCACCAGACAGCTATGCAAAAGGAGACAAGAGACAAGGCTGCGGTGCCCACCTCGATTCGCAGAGCGGGCTGTTGCTGGAGGAGATGCTGGATTCAGAGGCACAACGTCGTCGGGGCGCAGTTTTCCTCCCCAGGGCACCACCTGGCTCCTGCTCACTCCTTGCACCCCCAAAGCCATTGGTGAGACCTGAAACACAGGCAGGCAGGCCCTGAGTTCAGTGCCAGTGACTCAAGCTCAACTCGATTTCACACTCTGTACTTGATTTTCTTTTTTAAATGTGGAATACATTTTACAGAAAACATTACATATATAGGTAAGACATCATCTTACTTTCTACCCCTGTGTTCTCTGGCACCTACCACAGTCCTTACAACATACAGACACAGAAGTTACTAGGTTAAATGAAATAAACATAACAAAAGTTACAGCAAATTCAGATCACAGCCGTTCATTGAGACTGGTCTGAAGGCACTATTCTTTAAAAGTACATATTTTTAACTAAGTTTCACGAAGTTCCAATCCTTCCTGTATTAACAGATTATGTAAACTCTTTTGCATGCTCAACACAGGCCAGCCTGTCCACACAGGGGGTACAAGTTACATCTGGACAAGGCCCCTTCAAACCCCCAAGGGGCTGGGGGGCTACCAACAACACAAAAGCATGTTCACATGAGCAGAGTTTCAGTGAATAGTAAGTTAGATTTTAAAAATAAAAAATAAACACTTTAAAACAAATAATGAGGGCCCATCCCATATAGCTGAGCAGAGTCCAGTCTCCTCCATCATGAAGCTAAAACTCACTGGTTTTTGGGTAATTATAAATAGCTGGACAAAACACAATTACATCATCTCAATATTCAAAAATGCATTTTAATGAAGACAAATCTCAATTTTTTTTTTTTTTTAAGTTGGAGTCTCACTCTGTCGCCCAGACTGGAGTGCAGTGGCTGCTCCCGTCCACCGCAGCCTCGACCTGCTGGGCTCTGGTGATCCTTCCGCCTCAGCCTTCCAAGTAGCTGGAACTACAGGCGCACACTACCATGCCCAGCTAGTTTTTGATTTACTGTAGAGATGAAGTCTCACCAAGTTGCCCAGGCGGGTCTCAAACCCGTGGGCTCAGGCAATTCATTCACCTCAGCCTCCCAAAGCACGGGATTACAGTCTGAGCCACCGAACCCGGCTACAAATCTCAATATTTTCCTCCTGAAAAAACCTGACATTATGTCAGTGAACAGGAAAAAACATGGTTCCCTGTGGGTGAGATAGCTGGAGGGGCATGTATATATTTTTTATTCAAAAGAGATTCCCGCCCGCCTCATCCTTTAAAATGTTTAATTTAAAATCGATTTTCAAAAGAAAATGTATGTATTTATAAATAAAGATTTTCTTTATATACATATATTTTTAGGGACAATCTTGCTGTGTTGCGCAGACCAGAGTAACGCAGCGCCTGATATCATAGCTCACTGCAGCCTCTAACCCTTGGGCTTAAGTGATCCTCCTGCCTTAGCCTCCCAAATAACTGGGAGATATTTTTTGAAGTAGTTGGATTACAGGGTTGTCCATCTGCTTTATATACTTTCTCAATGAGCATGACTTACTTCTAAATAAAGGTGAATCAACTTTGATAACAGTCAAGAAATAAAAACATCGAGACTGACCACATTCTGCTGTCCCCTCCAAAGACTCAAGTCATTTCAACTCATCTTGTACAAGTCACTTCAAGTCATCTTGTTCCCTTTCGGTTGGACTTAACACTCACCATGAGCTCTAAGGGAAGCTTAGTATTGTGTGTGTGTGTGTGTGTGTGTGTGTGTGTGTGTGTGTGTGTGTGTGTGTGTGTGTGTGTGTGTGTTTAGATTTTAAACCTCAAAGAAGCTTAATATTTTTGATTTTAAACCTAATTCAAATGTATCAGCAGTAATTGCAGCTAATAAGGGGTGTTATACTCATTTTAGCATGTGGATATTTCTAAGAATCTACAGAAGAACCCTGAAAAAAGCAGGTCCTTAAAATACATGCTGAGCTGACTTACAGCCCCTCATCCTTCCCTCAACACTTATGAGCAGGGCAGACATCAGCAAATGAGGGATCAAGGATTAGACCTTAAACACCCCAATCCCAAAGGGGCTCAGGAAGGAGTGGGAAGCACCATCCTGCCTTCAGGGACCCCTCAGGAGCACAGACTCCTACCTTCACTCTGACCTGAGTCAGAGAAGTCAGAGACAGCCCCCCGCCAACTCATACGGACAGAGCCAGAACCCCAGAACCCGGGGTCTGACAGAAGAGAGGTTCCACCCCTAGCTGCATGGGCCCAAGCAAGGGATCTGCTAACATGTCTGAGCAGTCTTAAGCAAGCAGATCACCACCTCTACTCACAAGGAGAAGCCCAAGGGCACCAGGGAGGGTTGCCACGTCTCCACATATCCCAGCAACCAAAGACCATTCACTCACAGCAAAGGGGATGAGGAAATACAACCACAAGGCCAGGAACTGAGTGTGCCACTGTGTGTGTGAATGCATGGGGCTGAGGCCCAAGTGAGAACCCAGAGCACCAGTGATCCACTCCCCATAGCCAGGTCTCAAGGTTCTCGCTTACCCATGCCAATGCATGCCCTGTGACTACCCATGTGCAAAGCAAGCCTTGTCCAAGCTGAGCACACATGAGCTAGGTCCAAGTGAGGAGGCTTTTCTAGAAAAGTGATCAGCCAGTCTCCACAATGAGCCAGGTCCAGGGGCCAAGCCACCGCCAGTCAGGAGGAGAAAAAGATCAGCACAGCCCATTTACAAGACAACTTGGCAATGCCAGCCTGAGGGCCCAGAGCCCAAGCACAGCACATCAGTGGCAGCTGAGCCAGTACCTGCAGCCCCAACCCAGCCAAGCCACACACTCAACACTCACCAAAGATGACACTGGCTCCAACCGCACCAACAAACTTTACCAGAACAGCAACATAAAGCCAGGCCCCCAAACTGATACTTGAAAGGAAAAGATTAAAACACAGGGGAAAGTCCTTCTTTATGAGAAAGAGAATGATCAAATGCCCCCTTCTTAACTTTCCTAAGCATTTAATTAGAGAGCACATATCACACAGGTAGCAAGTTACATATGTACAGAGGTTTTCATGTTACATGTGGAAATACAAATGAGCACTTACAAAGTGACAGGTGGCACAGACAAACCCAACCAAATGAAGACTGTGTCTAGCAGGGAGCAGGAGGAGCCACCATGCCCACCATGAGGCTTGGTGGGGATGGAATGGCAGGGTGACCACAAGGCCTCACTGACAGGATGTTTGAGGAAAGGCCAACAGTGAGTAGTGCCCACTGATGATGCAGGCCTCCAGGAAAAATGTCTAGGGCAGGCAGCTCAGGTACACTGTGGTTGCAGCAACACAGGGACATTGAGTAGTGAGAACAGGCCCTGGACACATCCCAATAGGCTTTACAGTTGCTGCCTGGAGTCCACAGAGCCACAAGGGAGCAGTGTGGTGGTGAGGCACAGCCATGCCCATGAGGCCCAGACCCTCACAGCTCCTCCTCCATGGTGGCCCCTGGGAACTCACATCCTGTGCAGACTTCTCCTGCTAGCTGTAAGACATCCTCACAGGATGACCACCTTCGGCAATCAGGCAAGAACCTGAAAGGACACTCAACCCAGAAGGTTCTAAAGTCCCATGCCAGCCTCTAGGTAGGGCTCAACAAAGGGAGCCTGAGGCCTGAGGTCTTCACAGAGATGAACACCCAGACCACCAGGTATTTGCTAATGGCAGGCACTCACACAGGGCTCACACCTATAAATTGTATATATAGCAGGAGGCGACTTTCTGCAACTACTTTAGCATGAGGCATTCATGAGGTACTTTTTTAAATGCTGAAAGTAAAGCAGTGACAATGAAAAATAAAATAGGAGACGACCTCTGGGAAAGAGCTGCCACCCCACAGACATAGGAGCTGCACTTCCACACAGCACAAGTCAGCACCACTGCCCCATCCATGAGAAGACCTTTACACCAACTTCCTAGGAGGCAACAACTAAATACGGAACTCAAATGTCCCTCTCTGCCCCCAAAGAAGATGAAGTAAAGGTGTTGCCAGCAGCCCTTATAATCACAGCCCTGATAATCACAGCCCCTGGACCTATCCGCGGCACACCCAAGACTACTTTGGGAAGTCCCCAAAGGGCCTGAGACTGTAGTCAGCAGTGGCTGGAACTCCCCTTCTCTGAACAGCTCTCACACACGGAGCAGGGAAAAGCTCCATGGGGTCCACCTGGGGAGGCAAAGTCTGCAAGTCCCCTCTGGCCTCAGTCCCCCAATCCACGTGGATGCCAAGAATCCTCTGGGTTGTAGTCACACAAGAAGACCAAGCTCTGGTCAGTGGCAGAGCAAGCAACCCTTCACCCTCTATCTGGCCCAGTGGCCACTGGGACAACCGGAGCCAAGGAACTGTGCAAGCACACCCACAAGACATGGGACACAAACCTTTCCCTCTACCATCAGCACCCAGCTGCCACCTTGACCTCTCTGGCTCACCTGAAGCCCTAGAGACATGAAACAGGCACACTAAGACCACATCCTGACAACTAGAGCACCAAGGGCCACACAAGGGGCCCACACAGCAGCAAATACTCCAGCACTGGCGAGCAGTACTGCTCAGGGTGGTAGGAGAGCCAGTGTACACAAAACCTCAGGGCAGCAAGGGGTACCCATCATCTGCTTATTCAGTTTCCCTTTTACTGCTGTCAAAAGGGCATTTTTGGAGCATTTTTCATCCTCTCAAAAAAACAGCACATAAGATCCCAACACCACTCTGCTCATGCTGGGATCAGTTCTGTGAAGATGCAGTTGGGGACAGCCTGAGACAGGTCCCAGGCTGGACACCCACATGATGCCCTGTCCCATGAGCAAGACTTGAGTGGCCACAGCAAGCGCTCGGCAAGCCCACCAGTGAAAGACAGACATCAGCACTGCTCACTAACCCACTGAGAGTAATTGAGAGGAAATGGAGGAAAGTGAAGGGGAAAGGGAAATGAGGTGGAAAACCAATAAATAAAAAGAAGCTAATGACTGCATGAGAAAGTGCTACTTATGCCACATCTCCAGACGGAGCAAAGTTCCTTCAGACACACAGCACTAAGACAGCAGCACCCGTGCCAGGGCACAGCCACCCTATCCAAACCATTGATCACTACAGGCCAGCTCTGCATATGCTCGAGATGGGACTCAGCATGCTGTTCACTGCATCATCTGTGCTACAGCAGGCTCTGATGACAGCTATCCTCTGCATCCATTGTGACTCCACAAAGGGAAGGTTGAGATGCCAAAACATCCCACAAGTTCCAAGAGGGTGCCAGGCGTGCGCTCATGTGCCAATGCCATTCCCACTGCCAGTCTCTGACTTACAGAGGGGTGGGCTAGTGGGGACAGAGATCTCCTCCAAGGGCTGTTTGTGTTTAGAGGATGGCTGAACTGATGACTCCAATGTGATCCATCAGAATTAAGTGAAATGCAAGATGCAGGGATCTTTCTGCATTCTGAAACAGCCGCTTAGCAGAACTCCAGTCCAAGTTGAGGTAAGAGAAAACAATTAGGATCCAAATATGAACTACCCGGCATATTAGTAGTTAAATTGAGAACCTGGAAAACATTGAAAAAGCCATTTAGTCGGATTGGAAGGGCAGGAACAGCTCAGCCTCCTCCCTGAACAGTCTAAGGACACCAAAGACACCCCCTCACTCTCTCACATCCCACCACGTGCACAAGAAGGCTCTCGCAGCAGGTGTCTCAAAAGCAGGCAAGTGACACACAGCTCTGCCTGATGGTCATTGTTGTAAATAAGTGAGCAGTCACAGAAGAAATCTACAAGCCAAAGCTCGCCTCAAAGGTGTGACATCCACAAGAGCAGTCATGATGCACAAGCCTCTGCAAGGCCTGATGCACTACACGCCTGGATCACAGGTGTGGGATGGCACAAGCAGGGAGGCCACAGGTGAGCAGTCTCAGAACAAGCAAATTTGTTCTGAATCTAACTTGGAATCTTGCAGTGTACTGGAGAACATCAGAGAACTCCCTAAAAGTTCAGAACAAACAGATGAATGTTTGGAAAAAAAATCAGAAAATTCCAAATACTTCAAGTCCTCAAACTGCGAAGAACTGCCACTTGGAGCAAGAAATTCCAGGTGCACAGAGAACATCAGAAGGGTCAGATGAAGGAGAAATGGATGGCAGGGACTGGCAACATTCAGACCATGCCTGGCCCCTGCCCTGGGTTGATGATATACAGCAGGGGACACCTCTCACTCTTGAGGGTCTGATCTGCTAGTAAGGCTCCCAGCTGCTCAGGAAAGTGCTTAGGAATTCGTCATGCATCCACTGAAATCTACTCCCATTCTGGAATAAGAAAGCAAAAATCTCCATTTCAGTCAGAATCAAAGTGTACAATTATTCTTCCAGAAACGCATACTGCAGACCATGCCTAATAAAAGAAAGGTCTATAGTAAGACTGCTTTATTTTTATTTATTTATTTTTTTATTTATTTTTGAGTTGGAGTCTCACTCTGTCACCCAGACTGCAGTGCAGTGGCCACGAGCGGCCACTGCAGCCTCGACCTGCTGAGGCTCCGGTGATCCTTCCGCCTCAGCCTTCCAAGTAGCTGGAATTACAGGCACGCGCTACCACGTCCAGCTAATTTTTTGATTTATTGTAGAGATGAGGTCTCGCCAAGTTGCCCAGGCGGGTCTCGAACCCGCGGGCTCAGACAATCCACTCACCTCAGCCTCCCAAGGTGCGGGACTACAGGCTGAGCCACTGAGCCTGGCTAAGACTGCTTTAAGACTCACTGTTACCACTGAAAACCTGCAAAATATTCCACTCAAATGTGGAAAAGTAGAAAAGAGAGGGGAATACATTTTCTACAAAGGACTTTAATGAGCAAGTCAAAGAGATTTCTAAAGCCATGGCAGCCAGTTCAGTAAAATTTGGTCCATGGTGGGAGGCCCCCAGTTGGCAAAGGCTCTGGCAGGACCTGTCTGGCTAGGTGGTGCCACCTGGTGGAAGCCACCAAGTGGGCACCCCAGAGAGCAGGAAGCAGTAGCTGTCACACAGACATCAGCCATGCAGTGGAGATCTCTACACACAGCATCCTGCACTCAGTGCTCTTGACAGACAAGAAACCCTGAGGAAATGAAACACTGGCTGAGCTTTGGGTTATGCATGTGGAGAAGACACATGAAGCCAGGCCTGGCTCCCAGGCACTCTGACCCACATCAAATCATCCTCTAGTACCCAGAACACAATGCGCTCTGACTCTATTCATACCCGCTGGTAATGTCCAGTGAGCTAAAAAAGAAAAAACAAACAGGTGAGACACTAAAGTTGGCTAAGAAAGGCCAATGTATAGTTAAGAGAAATTCCCAAGTCCTGGGACAAGTACACTCTATCTTTATCTATATCTTATCAAACATTTAAATAGCTTCATATCATTTAGAAATAAAAAAGGTTTTTTCAAATTATTTTAAAATATCAATGTAACATCAATCCATCAAAGTAAAAAGACACAGGTAGAAAAGTGTATGAAATTAACTGATGTTCAAAGTTTTCATACAAGTTAAAACAAAATTTATCAGAAATTACTTTGGCAACAAAGATATGATCTGTTTGTAGGTAAAGGCAGGATGTACACTTCAGCGTAAAGACCTAGTGGATTCATGACCCGCCTGGGCAACTTGGCGAGACTTCATCTCTACAGTAAAATAAAAAATGAGCCGGGCGTGGTAGCATGCGCCTGTAGTTCCAGCTACTTGGAAGGCTGAGGCGGAAGGATAGCTGGAGCCCAGCAGGTCAAGGCTGCGGTGGCTGGGAGCGGCCACTGCACTCCAGTCTGGGTGACAGAATGAGACTCCATCTCAAAAAAAAAAAAAAAAAAAGACCTAGTAGAGTTTGATCTCCTTCACTGGGACATTTCAGTCAGAGACACAATGGATGGAGGAGGGAAATGACATGAAAGGTAGCCACAAACTAGGCCCAGAGACATCTCTTCCATCATGGCCCTCCCGTTTGCCCCCTACCTGTAAGGCTCTAGGATAGGAATTAGCTCACGGCTGCTCCCAGAAATAAAGCAATACCCACCCCAGGCCCACACCCTCACTGCCAAAACACGAGATACCACCCACACTCTAGAGCAGCCAGAAGAAAACACATTTCTCCTTATCTAGGTATAAGAGACAGACAGCTAGCAAACAGGAACCAAGCTTTGATTTAGGACAGAAAACAAAAGGGCAAACACGCTACAAGCATGCATCCAGAAAGGAGATGTTGGAGATTTGACCCAGCACTTCCCAAAGGCACAGCCACCAGGACTGAATGAACGAACCAGTGACAGTCATTCTAAAGAATACAAAAAATTCCTAGATTTCTCTAAGGGGTTAGGAACAGAGGCTGCAAAAAAGCAAAGGTAGTTTCCTTCAAACTCCGTGCAGTGGCAATTTATTTAAAATTTAACTGACACAATATGGGAACATTTTTGTAAATTAATTAAGCAGATTTAAATTACAAAAGTTTAGTAGCAAATGAGAAACACTTTTCAACAGGTCACAATAACTCACCACATATGTACTAATAGAACTACATAAAACAGTGAGGAAATCTTAAAACGGTGCTTCAACTGACTGCAAAGTGCTGCATTTACCGTAAGGACAGAAACTTTCAGAGAGCCCAGGTTCAAATCTGGGGTCCTGGCCCTGTGGGACTTCAGGAGACCCTACAGATACCTGCGGGGTGGGGCTCCTGTAAGTGCTAGGTACAGCCACTCAGTCATTAAGTCTACTCATATGTGTACCCCAAGCTCAAGATGAACAACTACAAACTACATGTGAGGCTGCCCTTAGTATTTGTAAAAAAAAAAAAATCAGAGGGAAAGGAAGGATGGGGCAAAAGAAGAGAGAACCACGGCCCCACAGCTTCAGAGCAGGTCGCTGAAGAGCAGCACAAAGGCCATGGGACCGCTCATGGCAGACAGCCACCTCCATGAGGGCACCAGCCTCAGACCTGCAATTTAGGGTTTTTGAAAGAAAAAACTGCATTGTTTTTCTTCTTCTCTAGAAATTAAGAGAATGCTGCAAAAACAAAGTTCAGCACCTCACGTATGTCATGTAAAGTCCCTGGAGGACAGAACACTCTCAGCACAGTTGGCAAGGGCGCGCTCTCGGCTGGCCACCCATGACAATTACCTGTGTCCAGGCGCTTTCCCGGGGACTCCTCCTCCACCTCGGAGTCTCCACATGTGCTCCGCGACCTTTTCCTTGGCTGCAGAAGAGTCTCCAACCTCGGAAGGACTACAGACAAAAAGGTTTTGGTCCCTAGCTGAGGAGAAGTTGGCTGGGTTTCAGTGTTCTTGGCAGACTTTGGGGGGCTTACACTTTTCGATTTGCAGAAGAGAACAGAAGTGCGTCTGTTTACATCGCTTGATGGCTCCGCCACCGCGGAGGCCGCCGCCGGCACATCGCCACTACTGGCGCGGGTGGGCTCTGGAGGGTGTCCGCTTACCAGTGCGCTCTGAGTGCAAGTGCTATGTGATTCATTATCAAATGTGACTCTTTTGAATAGTTTACTCTGCTCTGGGTTGAGTTCTACTGGTTTGAGGGTTGGTGGTTCTGAATTAGTCTCCGAGTTTGAAGGAAGAGGTAATGCATCTGATGGTTCAAGTTTAGGGGGAGATTTATCTCCTGAAAAAATTATAAATAAAGTGATTTTTGAAAACTGAAGATTATAAAATCTATTATAAAACTTACTATAAATGTGAAGTCCACCAAAACACTAATTCAATTAAGGAAACAAAGCATCACACATAACTGTCTGCTAAGCAGTGAGCAGCCCTGTGGGCTTGGGTCACACTGTGTGTGCTTCCCTAATACCAAAGGCTGTGGGCCTGGCACCCTGGGTGCAGAGCTCAGGTGCACAGTTACTTTCTGAAAAAAACTGTGAAAGATTATTTCACATACGCCAATATTAAATATATCATTTGAGTTCATGACAATTTCTGCAATCAATAATTCACTTACCTTGAAGAAAGGATATTTCATATAACTAAGGGGACCTTAAACTGGCATTTCCACAGAGTTCTACACTTAGCAAACAAAAGGAAATAAACATTAAATCTGACTCTGGTCAGCGTTTTCTAAGTCACTGACAAAAAACAGGGAACGGTGAGTGACTATGAATGATTCTCAAGAAATGCAGGAAAAAAAACTCCCCACTCATCTCAGAACACCCAAACACGTGTGCCACATTTCCAAATCCTGTAATCAAAGTTTTTCTTTTTAATGTGACTTTTTAGCTTTTCTTTGGGAAAAGACTATTTAACCTCTGCAAAACTGTTTTTAAAAATGACCAGCATAAAAACAAGAAGTTAGAAAATGGCACAGTGCAGAGATCTCAGGCTCAGTCCTGGGGGCTGGTCTGTCTGGCTCCATGGACTGACACACACTCGACCAGGCAGGTTCTGGCATGAGGCTGGAGGTGTGAGTTAATGCCATACTGGGCCAAGACACCAAGGCTTCTTTCTAAGCAGGACTGATTTGGGATATAAGAAGTATAAAACCAACGGCAACAATTTAAATAAGTAGTATATATTATCAATAACCATGGTTTTTATTTCATTAAACCTGCAAACTTTCCTAAAATCAGATGAAACATAGTTAATATAAACATGGTTAATATTTTAATCCAAAAAGTCATTTTGAAGATAAAAAGCTATACAACTTACAAGACTCAGAGTGATGTTTCAAGAATGGTTCAAAAAGTTCTCCCCAGGGCTGGACCTGGCTACCCTGATGCAGCCTTAGTGGTGCTTTGGGCTACAAGGTGCCTTTGTGTTTAAATGCCAATCAGAGCTTGTTAGAGCATGTCACAGCTGATTCAAATACCAAGGGGAGGTGGGGGGTGTATCACCTCAACAAAAAGCCTCTTGTTAAAAAAGGACTTTCATTAAAAAGTCTTATGAGACACAAACTTATCTAGTGCATGAAGCTGATGCCACAGAGGAAGTATCTGTGAAGTAGGAATACTGATTCCTGAGTCAGTGTCATGTTGGGTGGTGACAAAATTCTTCCCACCTATATTTTTGAAGTCACTAGCAGGCTTTAGAAAATAACGTTTATAAACCACATAGGACTACTGACCAAATAGGAATTCGGAAACGTGAAGAATCACTGCTTAAAAGTTTTCTGTTAATAAGTGTACACTTCTACTGTGTTCCTGATACTTGTGGAGCAGCAGAAGAAAGCTTCAGCACTGATCTTGCAATGTCCTCGTGCTAGCTGGTGTCTGAGGGGCACAGGGCCTGGGGCCATGGGGACCATCCCCACCTAGTGCTGAAGGAACAACACATCTCACTTCATTTCCTACCTCCTCTTCCTCTTCCAGGTCCATCATCCTGACCATGACACTCAACTGCTTGCTGCCATCCCTACAGCCTCTGCAGGGCCAAGGTCAATGACAGACTTGGTCTTGGTGGCTGTGACAGCACTGGGAAAGAGGATATGGAGCCTGAAAGAGCCTCCATGCCGTCTCCAGCCTACTTTTTCCATAGTTGTCCAAAAGGCACCTCAAAGCCTTGTCTCCTGCCTCCACCCAACTCTCAGAGCCACTCCTACCTGGCAGCCGCCCCATGAGGTAAGACACCCCTGCCCTGCATACGGGCCTTGCTCCACCATGGTCCACATATCCCCTACTTCCTTGAGCCCTTGGTCCAGTTAAAACACTCCATGCCAGACTCATAGCCTTCTCTGTATCGCAGGGACCTCCTGATCCTAGTCAATTCCAAAGCAGGTCCCTGTGATACTGCTGTGCATGCTCCTCCCTGTCCCTGCTCTGCATTCAGATCTATGTGCAGGCCAGGCTCCCAGCCACTAGCACAGAGCCCACAGGATGTGCTCCCAGGGTGCTGACCAGATGCACAAAGGAAGACTGTGGTCAAAAAAAGAGGATGCTCAGGCGTCCAGGTGCACACCCATCTTTAATAGTCGTGAGCCCCACACAAGCCAGTGAACCACTCTGTGCCTTAGCTTCCTCATCCACAAAATGAGAAAACACAGCATCTGTGCCTCTGGGGCCTACTGATAGAGCAAGCACACCTAATTCAGTCCCTTGAGTGGAAACCCTAATGGAAGTTAATATACAAGTATGAAAATTCCTCTAAAAAATTCACTGGCTGCGAACTGTCTTATGTTGTCATTTTACTGCATGAGGAATGCTCAATTAACTTCTGTGTAACTTGATGTAAAAGAATCTCAGGCCAGGCATGGTGGCTCACACCTGTAATATCAGCACTTTGGGAGGCAGAGGTGAAAGGACTGCCTGAGCTCAGGGGTTCGAGACTGGCCTGAGCAAAATGGTTGAATATCGTCTCTACAGTAAGTCAAAAAGTTAGCCAGCCATGGTGGTATATGCCTGTGGTTCCAGCTAATGGAAGGCTGAGGGGAAGGACTGCCTGAGCCCAGTAGATTGGGACTGCAGTAGCCGTGAGTGTGCCACTGCACTCCAGCCTGGGCAAGTGAGTAAGACTCCAATTTAAAAAAAAAAGAGTCTCAGGCCTCATAAATACACAAGTCAGTATCCTAAAATTCCATTCACTGAAATTTATTACATATACAAAATAACAAAGTGGTTAACCATAAAATGACTTCACACATAGGATATCTAATCTAAACTAGCTACTCTACGAAAACTAAAAGACCCAGTTAAGTCTGCAAGAAGAATACCGCAATATTTTACACACCTATCTACTCACTAAGCCAGTCAAACGTTTCCCTATCAAAGCCACAAAAAGTTTTGGAAAATAACAATGTAATGTATGGGGACATTTCAGCACACGACTAATAACTACACTGTCCTTACTATCACCCCTGCTAGGTTCCTTGATCTGCAATCCTGAAAGGATAAAGCCACATACACCACACATCTTTACACTGAGTAACAAACATCATTTTATAAACGTGACACTGCCTGCACGAGCTCAGCATGCATACACAGCAGGAGGACCTTGGTCACAGTGCAGAGCAGGGGCCACAAGCTGCCCTGGATTAAAAGGGACTCCCCAGAGGCCACAACAAGGACAATGCCTCAAGACTCAAAATCCCAAGGACTTGAAATGTGAGATGTTCACTAGCACACGGTGCAGACTCTCTTCTCACAGCCACCTGCCTTCATTTTTCTGCCCCAAGGCAGCTAAAACCAACCTGGGTGTATGGTAAAGGTAAGATCACTGGAAGCTGCAAATCCATTCCACAGGTTCATCAAATGGACTTTGGCAATTTGCATCACCAAATCCCAATTACTGCTTGGCCCTCACCTGGCTGCTAAACAATCCTCAGGAAGTCAACATGGGAAGGGATGGCTGACAATAATAACCCAAAACCTCACGCTCCACAGACTAAGAGTCGGGGTCACCGCAGAGGCCACAAGCGGGCATATGGAAAGTGACCAGGCCTCACCCAACCACATAGCCCAGGAGGTATCTCCTTCCTTCAGACACCAAAGTCTCAGGGGCTGGCATCTAACAGCTATCCTTGTTCAAGTTGCTTTAAACGAAAACAATGTAAATATTACATAAATACTATTAAATTACAATCTGAGACTGCATATTCAACATTAAAGAATTACTATCTTTTTAGGCGTGGTAATATTATGGTTGTATTTAAGAAAAATGACAGGAGGCCATTATCATTTAGAGCATACTGAAATAATTTTTAAATGTATGATTCTTGGATTTTGTTTCATGGTAGATATCATGAGTTCACATTTGTATACCAACTCACAAATATGTTTTGGCTGTCTTCCCCAACACCTGTGATTTCCCCAGCTCCAGTCTGGGTCTCTCTGAAGACTCCTATCTTCTCTAAGGGGGACATGACCCACTACCCTCTTTACTCTACCACAGAATGGGTTTTCAGCCAACTTTCTCTTTTCCATCCACCTTTCCCACCAGCTAAAAGGAAAATGTCCTTTTCATAAGATTAGGCATTTTATTTCATTTTATTTTAACAGAAGTCTCTCTCTGTAGTCCAGGCTGGAGTACACAGTGGGGTGATCATAGCTCATTGAAGCTTCAAACTCCTGGACTCAAGCAATCCTCTCGCCTCACCCTCCTGAGTAGCTGGGACTACAGGTGCATTTCACCACACCTAGCATTTTTTTTTTTTTTACTTTTTAGAGACAGGGTCTTATTATGTTGCAGAAAGTCTCAAACTCCAGGCCTCAAGTGATCCTCCTTTCTGCCTCAGCCTCCACAAAGCACTAGAATTACAGATGTGAGCCACCACACCTGGCCTTGTCTAGTCATTTATTTTATTTTATTTTACTTTTTTTTAGGTTGGAGTCTCACTCTGTTGCCCAGGCAGAAGTGCAGTGGCACGTTCACAGCCACCGCTGCCTCAACCTGCTGGGCTCAGATGATCCTTCCACCTAAGCCTTCCAAAGCAGCTGAAACTACAGGTGCGCACCACCACGTCCAGCTAATTTTTTTATAATTTTAGAAACGAGGTCTCATTAAGCTGCCCAGATTGGTCTCACAGCCCTGGACTCAGGCAATCCTCTCACCTCCACCTCCCAAAATGCTGGGATTACATGTGTGAGCTACCATGTCTGGATTGTTAAGCTATTTTATTTTTTTTTTTGAGTTGGAGTCTCACTCTGTCACCCAGACTGGAGTGCAGTGGCATGCTCCCAGCCACCGCAGCCTCGACCTGCTGGGCTCTGGTGATTCTTCCACCTCAGCCTTCCAAGTAGGTGGAACTACAGGCACATGCTACCACGCCCGGCTAATTTTTTGATTTATTGTAGAGATGAGGTCTCGCCAAGTTGCCCAGGCGGGTCTCGAACCCACGGGCTCAGGCAATCCACTCACCTCAGCCTCCAAAAGTGCTGGGATTACAGGGTGAGCCACCAAGCCTAGTCTTGTTAAGCCATTTTAAACAACAGGCATAACAAGTCTTTCTAGGACATCTTTTATCTCATATTTCACTCTGTGTGTACTTTCTTTAAAATTACCCCAGAGCTACATAGCAACAAAAATCCTCTTCCAAGGGGACTGGCAGGTTCCAACTATACCTCAGGGAGAGATATGAGGAACCACTCTTGCTGAAGGGAAGGGCCAAGTGGCTCTAACCATGCAGGGTCCTCAGCCCTGTAACCTAATGCCAGCAGAGGAAGCCATTGTTAAGAGAACTAAAAAGGTAACTACTGCTCTGCAGTAAAAAAGATCAGGACTGTGAGGAGAGAAGTGTTTGAAGGTAAGCTATTTTGATGAGATGAATTGACCTGCTGACAGACTCACTCTTTTCAGGGCAAATAAGACAAAAACAGAAAAGTGATCTGCCTAAAAGAAAGAAGATTCACAGATCATGCACAGCCAGTCAGACAAAGCAAAGCCTATGAGAACCAGGTGACGATGCCACCCTAGACCCCTTGGGGCACAATGGAGGACAACCCAGGACCTGGACAGGTCTGGCTGACAGAGGTGTCTATGGAAAATGTTCCTCAGAAATAATGCACAAGGGCCCCACAAAGGCAAAGGAGGGGTCATGTGATGATGAAGGCTTTTTAGAGGATAGAAAGTAAATGTTTCACATTGAAAAATAAAGCCTGTATTTTATGAACCCTACCACAATTGATATCACCCTAAAGAGACATTCTAGAGTCTAGGTCTTATACTATGGTGACCTAAACAAAAACAGGTAAAAAATGAGAAAAAGGATGCATTAAAAAATTACTAGCTATATGCACAAGACATAAGTTTCTAAGAAAAACTTAGTGCTAGCAGCCTAATGCAACAACAGGCTAACAAGGAGCAAAAAAAAAAAAAAAAAATCAAACAATGAGAAGCTATGTTAAGTTCAGAGCGATTAAAAGTTATAACTGCTGTGACCCATGGGGATTGACTGATCTGTGGTGCATTCAGACATGAAAATGCTATATGTCATCCATTGCAAGGTAGGGCTGTAATGTTGATCCAGATGGTTACAGGCGATGAACGTTTTTGTAAAAAAGAAAACTGCTGTACAATTATGTGTGTCCTATCTCAATGTTTTTATTATTCTTATTCAGATATGCAGGAGAGATCTTAGACTACTTTCTATTTCATGTAACTAAAACATGTCAGTTTTAACCATAAAGAGAGGGCAAAATAGTGGGAATGAATTTCTCCCAACTTCTCCATGCTCAATTTAGTTGTTAAGTTCCCTTTCACCAAGCATGGGACATGGCTGCTCTACCTCGCCACTATGCCAACCTCATTGTAAACGCCCTTCTCACATGTCTACATCTGCACTCGGTTTCACTAGTTCTCCTATTAGATTACTTTCATCTCCTACATTTATTTCCTACCAAGAAAAACATCCTTGCTATCCAGATGACCTTCAATTACTGTCACAACGAGTCACCATCCACTGACTGCCGCTCCATGAAGGCCACAAAGTTGCTATAGAGGAGCCGGTTGGGGCGCCCAGCAAGCAAGGGTGCTGGCCTTTGCATGGAGCAACTGACTTATCATCCAACTCTTCACATCATGGAGGAGGACTTAAGTGATAATGGTTTAAAACTGCCCTTTCAAAAAGCTGTGTTTAAGCCAGGTGCGGTGGCTCACGCCTGTAATACCAACACTTTAGGAGGTGGAGGCGAGAGGATTGCCTGAGTACAGGGGTTCAAGACCAGCCTGGACAACTTGGCGAGACCTCATCTCTACAATAAATTTAAAAATTAGCTGGGTATGGTGGCACACACCTGTGGTTCCAGTTACTTAGAAGGCTGATGCAGAAGGATCACCTGAGCCCAACAGGTCAAGGCTGTGGTGGCCACGAGTGTGCCACTGCACTCCAGCCTGGACGACAGAGACTGACTCAAAAAAAAAGCTGTGTTTCATAATCTAGTGCATAGTTAATGGCTTGCCCTCAATCTACAAAATACGACAAAAGTATTTCTTACTCTTATCATATAAGCTACCTTTACTCTTTAACACAGTATAAGATCTAAACCATTCTTTTAAAATAGCATTTCAAGGCCCAAGTTAAGAGAAAAAATTTTATTCTGTGCCTTAAATTTTATAAAATACTTACATGAAAAACATAGCAGAGAGCAAAAGCAGTAACGTCTTTTTAAAAGAAAACAAAAACTCAGTGGGAATATCAAGTGATCCAGGCTTTGTGAATTTTACAAAACTAGTGCTAACTTTTGAGCCTCGGTGCAGACTGATGCTGATACCCGTGACTGTGCCTTGACCCTGACCAGTAGGTGAAGCAGAGCAGCTCTTGCTGTGATGCTTACCTTCCTCGCCTGCCTCCAGCCCCAGTGGAGCACCGTCCTCTTCGAAGCTTCCAGTACCTGACCCCGCAGGTGGGGGCTGGCTATGCTGCTGGCTCAGCTTGTTCCGGAGAAGAGCTATTTCCTTTTTGAGCAGCTTTGCCCGCTTGCTCCGGGAGCCACTGGACTTCATGGCACAGGTGAGGTCGAGCATGTCCAGCAGCTCTCTCAGCTGCTCTTCCAGGCTCATGTGGGTCCTGTTGGCTGGGTCCAGCAACCTGTCCACTGAACCAAAGGAAACACATTATTAGTCATCAGAACCCTGGCATATCTTCTGAGAACATGTCACTAATTTTATCTTTTAAGTCACTCTTAGCAAAGGGCCCCAGAGTAGTTGCTGACAATGAAGCCCCACCAGAGATCCCAGAAGGCCCCTTTCCCATGCCCTGAACCCATGATGAGGCCACTGCTCCAGGGAAATGCCAGGATGCTCCAGATGGGAAATTTCTACTCCCATGGCTAGCTGGGGCACCATGGCAAGTGTCGCCACACAAGGGGCAGCAACCAGGTGACACCTGCAACCTCTCCTGGAACATGACTCACTAAATCCCCTTGTGCAGACAGCCTGAGTGAGGGTGAATCACAAAGATCACCAGAGAGAGCTGCATGCTACACCAGTATGCAGCAAAACTCAAGATGAACTTGCACCGATGCTGCAAGCAGAAGTAACGATTTGCAAATGTATTAACTTAGGGCTGTTTGCACATCATAAATGTCTTAGCTGAAGTCTTCAGACATCATTGTGCGGGTTTATTAAACTAGGATGCAAAATTCACAGGTCAATCTGAATTTCAGGCATATTTACTACAAAAGTCCCTAGCAATTTCAATTTCAAATAAATATTAAAATTGATAAAGCACAAATTACCTTGAATTAGGAAGAGATGGTCAAAAAAAGAAACTACACTTTAGAGCTATCTGAAAATAAAATCGGAGCAAGCCAAAGAGATAGAAAGAGAAGACAAAAAAACAATACAAGACTGTCCAGAAACAAATGAATTCACCTTCCTCTAGACACAAGGCATTTATCTTTTTGATGAAACAAACAAGACACTAGTATAGAGAAAAAGAAACACCTAAGACATAATGGTCCTTCAAGACTTGTATCCATAACATCACTCTGAACAATTTTCATAAATAACACCTGAAAAACATTCTTACAAAAAAAAAAAAAATCATGTCATTTGTAGCCGTAAGGAAAAAAAAATCTCACAATGTCTGCTTTTAAACAGTGATCACTGGTCTCCATGTATGTGCCATAAGGAGCACTCCAGTGGGGTCCAGGCAACAGAGAGGGCAGCATCAGGTTCACAGAGGGGAGTAGCAGGAGAACCTTCGAGGGAGACCACAAGGCTCACCTGTGCACCCCCCAAATACTGAAGAAGAAATAAACTAGGACTCCTCATCCTTCACTTTCCCCTTAGCAAAAAAACTTACTCTTAGTGACCTGCACAGCCATGATCTGAAAGGTGCCAACACACTCAGAGGCCCCCAAGTCCCTTCTGTACAAGGGAGGTCTTGTGGTGATGGGAGTATGAGGAGGGAGGATCAGGGGAGCAGGGTGCTTGGGGGCAAAGGAGGCTCCAGACTGCTCAACAGAGCCCAGGTGTAATGTGGGTCTTTCCACTTTTTTTGAGTTGGGGTCTCACTCTGTCACCCAGGGTAGAGTGCAGTGGCATGATCACGGCTCACCACAGTCTCGACTTCCTGAGCTCAGATGATCCTTCTGCTTTAGCCTCCCAAGTAGCTGGGACTACAGGTGCATGTTACAACAACAACACCTGGTTAATTTTTAATTTTTTGTAGAGAAGTCTCTTATGTTGCCTAGCTTGTCTCAAACTCCTAGGCTCAATTAACCCTCCTACCTTGGACTCCCAAAGTGCAGGAATTACAGGCGTGAGCCATAGCACCCAGCCTTTTCCTGCTTCTAAAAGCAGGCAACCAATAGCCATCTTGAGCAGTCACAGCACCAGGCACTATATGGACATCTGACAGCCAATGGGTGGTGAAGGGCCCAAGCCAGAAAGGGAAGGTCAGGGTTAGGAGGAGGGGAGGTCCTTCTTATATTCACCAGACAGAGGCTGGTAAACCAGTAAACGCACAAGTAGTAAGGGCTGAGGCTGACTCCAAGTAGTAACTCTGAGCCTCAGCTCCTCTTGGGATCCCCTGGGGAATGTTTCAGAATAGAATGGCTCTGATTTGATCAGCCTAGGATACACAGATCTAGGATTTAAAGCTCCATGTGGGTTTGCTCAGAGCTGTCAGCTCTGGGTTTTGAGCTCTGAGTTTGTGTTAATTTTTCAAATCCTTCCAAGAAAAACGTGTTACTCTTAAAATCAGAGACACAAAGAATACAACCTATCCTGCATGCCCTTTCAGATGCCTGACTGCTAGAGGGTGACAGTCCCTGTGTGTTATAAGCCCCACAGAGAAGCAGAGTCTAGCCTTACTGCCAAGGTCAGAACTGCTGATGAGGGAAGAAGGCCAGGCTGCATCACAGAAGTATCATCCTATTATGGTCAGTGATGTATCAGGAGAAAAGGTAGGCCAGGAAATCAGGAATATGGGACCTTGGGATAAATGAACCACACAGTGATTTTTACTAACAATTTAAATTCAGGAAAACCATGCTCTGAGGTGCTCCCCAACTCATCTGGGCAGTTTGCATAATTCAACAAATGCTATCATGGACATCACAACCAAGGTGCAAGGGAAGCCCTGGTTTCCAAAGATTGGTCTAGAGAAAGGCACAGATTAGTGTACAGATGAGCTCAAAGACAGCTGCAGCATGTGCATGGGGCAACCGAGAAGCACAGGCTTAGGCTGGAATCCAAGAGGGCTGCAGACGTGCTGCTCCTGAGGCCCTTGCTACAACATGTGCAAACCATGAAGTTAAAGGGTCAGAGGCAAAACCAACTAGAATTCCTCTAGCTTCCAAACATCCTAGAAAGTTGACCAAGGCCCGCTATGGGTGCAAACCCCCAACTAAACTGCTTCCTTGTTCTATATTATCAAGACCTGGGCTGTCCCACAGGGATCCCCTGGTCACATGGGTCTCTTTCAAAGCATCTAAAATGTGGTTGGTCCAAAGTGAGATGTGCTATGAGTGTAAAATACACATCAGATGGCAAAGAGAATGAAAAACTAACAAAACATACCCTCAATAATTTTTAGATTCTTCCCATGTTGAAATCACAATACTTTGGAGATACTGAACTAAATAAGATATACATTAATAAAATAAAATTCATCTGTTTCTTTTCAATATTTCAGTAAGGCTACTAAAAAACTTTAAATTACACATGAGTTTGCTTTCTATTTCTCCTGAACTATGCTGATATACAGCTGACAATGCAAAGCAGGACAGAAGAGCATCCTCCCATCTCTTCCTGGACACGGTACCCAGTTCTTACCGTCTTCCCAGGAGAAAGGCCGCCGAGGGGCCACAACAGGCCGCTCAGGCAGGTGCATCCCCGAGGCCTCTTCCAAGCCGATGCTGTCCACCTCACGCCGGGCCTGCCTCAGTACAACACCTCCCTGATCGCGCAGCCTCACTGCGGCTCTATAGAACACGGTGTCCCTGGCATTGTACTTCATGCAGTTATCTACAATGAGATCAAAATCCTCCTCAAACTCATGGAGGTTTTTATACCCTTGAGCTTCTAACCGTTTCCTCATTGTGGCAAAGTCCATGGGATGTTTAATGTGATCCAAATAATCTGGTACCTAATTTCAGGGAGGAAAAATAATCATTTACAAACTAAAAGAAGATACTTAGCTTATTCTATATTATCCTATATAATCAACAAACCCACGCTATATTAGAAATCACACACACACACATGCACACAGTACAGACTATTTCACATGGCCCTCAAGTGGCAACATTGAGGCCAGATACTAAACCCCAAGTTCTGCAAAGACCCTCCTGACTTCCATTCTTTTAGCTAAAAGACACTAGCAGGTGCACTGGTCGGGCAGACGCCACCAACAACTGAGGGTCCTGTCTGCACGGGGTCTCTCATCCATTGCATTTTCAATATTTTACAATGAAATACATCACTTTTATAATTAAAAAATACATAAAATAAAAACGAAAATTAAAAACACAAGTAACCTGCTCTGCATAGTTACATGTTACTTATCAAAGAGCAGCACAAATCCACACTGTCATACATGTGAAAGAACAGACAAGCAGCTACACGTACCTCCTTCAGACTCACAGGTTGGGCAAATATCCTCGCAGGGTCCTTCTCCTGCAGTTGGTCCAGCACTGAGCGCAGCAGCACTGTCAACGGGGTCAACCGTAGCTCCATGGCGACCTGCTCCACCTTCACCTAGTGACCACAGCAGAATCTTAGCTTTATAGCACTGCAGAGGTGCCCTGTCTCACGATCTCAGCACCATCCGCAGCCATGCTAAAATCTACACTCTGAGCACACCCCCCCCCACAGGCTCCTGTGCTTCTTTCAAAGCACAGGTCAATGCCAGCCTCCACAAAAGCCCCTACAACCCAGGGTGAGGCACTACTCCACATGGAGCCAGCACATGTGGTAAGGAACAAGAGCTGCTCAGCGTTTCTAACCACAACCTGACACTTACAGGGGCCCTCAATGCCTCAAGGATGCTCCAGGGGCCAAGAGCCTCACCTGCTCACGTTTGAGCTTCTCCCGCTTGCGCAGCAGCTCAATCAGCAGGCGGGCACGTTCCAGGTCGTGCCGCAGCCGCTGCCAGTACTTCAGCTTCTCTTTAGCGGCTTTCATTTCCTCATCATTTTCCCTCTGAGAAAATTAAGAGCTTCTATCAGTCAAACCAAGGGGCTCTGCCTGCAAAGAGCCTCAGATGTCCACACAGGTGAGATCCTGGGAGTCCATGCACACCAAGGGGGTGTCCCAAGACACAGAGCACATGGACCCATCCTCATCAGAGAGCAGGACAGTGCAGGGACGGGGGGGCAGAAAGGACAGCAGGGTTGAGACAAGTAGAGACCCGGCTGTAGTACATGAACTCTGCCCTCCAGGGAAGGCAGAGGTATCTGCAAGCAGGGAGGAGAGGGGCCTTCTCAGAATCAGAAAGGTTGCCACAGAGGGCAGGGCTGAGAGGAGGGGGAGCCCTCAATAACCCACCTCCAAGAGAACTGGGAATGGAGGAAGCATCAGGGAAGAACCCAGGTGTACAAAAAGCATCAGGGCTGAAACTCATCCTGGCTAGGCTGGTGCATAATGGTGTATGTGCCCTGGCAGGGAAGGGCCAACCCACTGCCCAGCACTGTTCAGCATCTCCATCCTGACATCCGCTCATCTTCTCAGGACAGAAGAATGAGCGGGACAACACAGGCCGCTAAACTCATCTGCAACCCATTAGCCTACTTCTACTCCGGGGTTATCAAAATAAAAATATAGTCTTGAAAAGGCCATGGCACAGAAGGTCGCAAGACAGGAAGACACCTGGGTCTGCCCTTAGCCCTGTCTCTACCACATCCCCCTAGGCCTGGCCACATGGGGCCTGATCCTGTGCTGCCCACAGGGCTGAACAGGATGAGGCACTACAACCCACTGCAATGAACCCAAGACCCACAAAGAGATCCTCCCAGGCTCCAAGAGCCCACAAAGCAGAAGACACACATTTTCATGGCATCAACACCCCTAACAGACAGAGTCCTTCTCAACAAGGGCCAGCTTTCTGGCTAAGCATCACATATCACGTGCCACCATGTTCAGATGAGGCAAGCCCTCAGCATTTCCTGCACCTCATCCACCAAGAGCCCAACTCTTCCCTCCTCAGGCCTGCACTCGCTCACACTGCCCACACTTCTTTGCCCTTGTCAAGTCAGCCAAGCCAGAACTTCTGATCCTCCTGTGAATCCAAGGCGGTCCCCTCCCAAAGCTAAAGCCTGCCCCTGAGCTGAAAGCCATACCATCTGACCAGTGGAGGAGGGATGGAGGGAGATGCCTGCTCACTACCTGCAGAGCCATGCTTGACCCCAGTTGACATATGGGGCTTCTCATCATAGTGTTCAGGATTCCCTGATCTTATCTCAAAGGGAGGAGAAAGAAAATGAGGGAGTGGGTCCAGAACAGGGCCCCCACCTCAGACGGTCGTCCTTCTCCACATCAGGACAAACTTTTCAAACCACATATGTGGCTGCCAGGCTTGAGCCAGCCCCTGTTGTCGGTTTCTGTATCATACTCTATGTTCTGCCTCTCAGGGTGCCACCTGCAGCTTTTTAAGGGATTTAGGGCCTGAAGGCACAGTCACTGACTATGCGCTAGAGGGAGGAACCAGGAACTGAAGAAGGGCCCAAGGGCACAGAGTCCTGTATCCCTACCTCGTGCTACCAGGCTTCTCCACCATGGGGTGGCTTCAGTATCCACCCTGGTACAAACCATTGAGTTTATCTGAATGTTACTGAAAATTCCCAGGCATAAAATCAAGGTTAACAGGAATATCATCCACATAAACAAAGTCAGTAAATACATTAAAAAGATAGATTTAGAAAACCAAAATCCCTGGGAGCATCTGTAAATTACCTTGTCTGTTAGTTTGAAATAGATACTTCTGAAAACGTCAGCCAAAAGGATGGTTGGCCTGGGAATCTGTATGAAGTGAAAGAACTCTCATAATTACCAACAAGTTCTTTATCGCACATTTGCTGATTGGTTTGCTCCCTAACTGGGTTTTAATAAAGAAACACTGTCTGGTAACAGCAAGGGTGTCATAGGCAGCACCCGGGCCAATGAGAATGGCACTTCTGCATGCAACTGTATCGTGATAAAAGGATCCCATAACACACCCAGCCTCATTGGCTCTAATGTACCAAGTTTTCCTTACTCTGCTCTGAAGTAGTCACTTCCTATATAAAAATCAATTCTGAGCTGGGCTCGGTGGCTCAGCCTGTAATCCCGTGCTTTGAGAGGCTGAGGTGAGTGAATTGCCTGAGCCTGTGGGTTCGAGACCCGCCTGGGCAACTTGGCAAGACCGCATCTCTACAATAAATCAAAAATTAGCTGGGGGTGGTAGCGTGCCTGTAGTTCCAGTTACTTGGAAGGCTTAGGTGGAAGGATCACTGGAGCCCAGCAGGTCGAGGCTGCGGTGGCCAGGAGCGGCCACTGCACTCCAGTCTGGGTGACAGAGTGAGAGTCCAACTCAAAAACAAAATCAATTCTGGAAAAGTCCATAAAGTAAAATAAAAGTAATTTCTGAGATGGGGAAATGCAGAAGTGTTGTCCACTGCCAGGAAGAAATACCAAGCACCTCAATATCTGTTCCAAACACACACAGAGGAAATACAAGTACTGGGGTGTGGAGGATGGTCAGAATCCCACCACATTCAGGATCGGCTCAGTCAAATTAAAACTTCCCACGTGGGGAGGCATAGGCCAGCTCCTTAGGCTCCAAGGACTCCTAGGCACTTGAGTCCCAGGACACTACGAAGGGTGTAACATCTTAAGGGCAGCTGGTCCCAGCCCTACTCCTGAACTTGATGCCACCAGGGACAACATGGGCAGTAGCACTCAGCGTTGCCTTGAGAACAGACACTCCAAGAGCTAGTGGACATGCTCCCAGGAGATGAAGGAAATACCAAGGGAGCAGGGGCATGGCTTGATGCTGTTCAACCTAAAGCTAAGGTACCATCCTCGTGCTCCCTCCTGCCCACTGCACACCCTCAGTGACCACCCCACCTACCAACACAAAAGTCCCAGGAAGGCCTGACACTCTGGCCAGGAGCTGAGGGGACCCTGAATGTACAGTCAGACAGACCACCACCAGGAGGGTGGCATCTGCAACCATGGACTTGCAACCAACACCCTCGGCACCCCCTGGCCTCCCAGAGACCTCCGTCCCATTCATCACACTGAAGGGTATGGCCTGCCTGTCCATCCCTCCAGAGTCTGGCTGAGGGTGGACATCCACAGACATGGATGAATCAAATTCTAACATCAGTTATTTCTGAAGTTTCAAAAAACATGAAACCACAGCAAGCCTCAGACAACACTCACTAGAACAATATGGGAGCACAGCCTCTCCCTCCAGATAGCCTGTCAACTCAAAAGCACGTTTCTAGACTCTGGACACCACTGTTGTGCTGTGGGCTCAAATTCACACAGTTCCTTCTACTCCTTCCCAATGTCCTCAAGGAGCCTTTCCCCTCTGCCAGAAGAGCTACTTCCGGCTGTCCTGTGGGAAATGTTCCCTCCTACATATTTTGCATGTGACAGAACCTTGCAAATAGTGCCTGAGAGAGCTCATGAAGGGTAGTGGCAGAGGGTAGCAAGGGAGGCCCTTGGACTGGGTCTACTCACCTCACTGCCTTAGCCTTAGTGTTTGCAGCTCTACCTGGGTCACCTCCTTTCTTCCTTCCAACCCTCAGTCTCTCCTCTGTTTCCTGGCTTCACTATACCCCAGGCCCACTGGCCCCCACTCTCCTGGCTGCCTGGATCCTCCTCACACCCATGTCCACTGGTTCATGTATTCTGCTACTGTAGGGACCCTGACCTCCAAGTCTGCACTCCTGTGAGTGGGTGATGAGCCCTATACTTGATATCCCCCATCCAGCCACATCCACGTCTATTTTCATATGGAAATCATACTTCATGGTTCACCCCGTGGCTTATTTGGAGAGTTCCCTCCAGCCCCAGCCCCAAGACAAGATCCAAGGTCTGAATTCTCAACTTGCTCCATCAAAATCCTCTCTTACACTTCGCCATCACTGGGGCTAAGACTGAAGCTCCAGCCTACCAGTGCCCCAACCATCCCTCATGGCTCCACTGCTTCTGAACTCTATATCTTAAAGTCCCTCCCCAACACCCTCTCCTCCTGGGGGCTCTCACAGGCTGCAGTGTGGGAAGGATGGCAGAGATGAAAAGTAACATCTCACAACATCATGGTATGGAAAATGCAACTGACTCATTCGACAACCAAAAAATATTTATTGAAGCCTTTACTTTGTGCCAGGACTTTAAAATAAAGCCTGGCAATGAAAGGACTCTCACTCCATGAGAGACCAACTAACTCACAAACTTGAGAAGCCTCCCAGGGAGTCCCAATTCCCCTAAAAAGACGTGCAAGAGGAGGATGACCCAACTGGTGAATGCATAGGAGGTCCCAGAATACTCCCCAGTCAAAACGCACTCCTGGTGCTGAGAAGTCACTACCTGAGGCTACCATCAGAAAACACAGGACTTCACCCCCAAAATCTGAACCACAAACCATCATCTACTGGATACAAAAAACACGATAACATGGTCTACTTGTAGACTGCAGAGCAGTCTCTGCAATTTCCATGAAGCACGGCAGCAGTGGCACTAGGTTACTGAACTGGGCTAGCATCAGGGGCAGAGGGAACAGAACATGGTGCCAGCTCGGCAGCAGAGCCTCTGAGAGACAGCCAGCACTGGTTGCAGTACAAGGACCCAACTGTGCACTCTGCAAACTCGATCTTCTGTCAGAACGAGCCATTGTTTCATAACAGAGTTTAACAATTCTTTGTGTCCAGGATGGCACTAAAAAGGGCAACAAGGAAATTCCATAAGGCTCTCAGCCCAAAGAGGTGCCAACCATTGACAAGCTGTTCCTGCAAGACTGGCCATTCCTTACAAAATAAACAGAGGATGCCAGCTGAAAGTGTTGAGTGACATGCAGAAGAACTGTTTTCATTTTCTATTTATTTTTGTGACATCTTACAAGTCACTTTAGTTTCTAAATCCATTCTTTCAGAACTTTCAGATGATTCTATAAACCCAAGTTAACTACTAAAATGTAAGAGTTTCTTCTTTTAAAAGAAAATTCCTATTCACTCCTGCCTATTTCAGTTCTCAACTCCTTCCTTCCCTACTGCAAGTCAATGTTAAACTAGTATTCAGAGAAAGGCCCTTAAAAGAGATCACTCCTCATGTTTCCAAAACCCTACACTCTAGGCCCAGCACACAGACTCTCACCCATTGGGCCCCACCTCCTGATGTTCCCATCTTGAATACCAGTATGGTCAAAGTGATAACACTTCTCTGGGCACCCCCTCTGTTCACAGGGCTGGCACAGGGCTGAGCACATGGCCATAGCCCCATCAGTGTGAGCATGGTGAGAAGAAACAAACAGCAATTCAAAACAGAAGAAACATCGGGTGACACACATGGGTGAGAGTCACGTGCACAGCCCACCATTCAACAGCCCAGGACACACAAAATTTTTTGTATAATTCCAGGGCTGGGCAAGACCAGGGCTTCCAAACGAGGAGCCTGGGCTCAGGGATCAGTGCCACAACCAGCCGGAACCTGGCGCCTCACCTCGGAGGGCGAGACAGACAAACACTGAGAGGCCTGTGGAGGCCATGAGCCACATACCTGCTGCGTGCTCCTCTGGGACTGCAGGCTGGACTGGAGCCGCCGCAGCAAGGGAGCGCCATTTCTAGACAGTCGCTTGAGTAACCAGTAGCTGTGGGCTCGCTCCACAAACTGCTTCTTCCGCTGAATGGCCACCTGATTCGCGATCCTATTTAATCTAAAACATGGAAAAACTCACAGTTTAGCTTTGAAACAGTACATTAAAATGTTTTCATTATGGAAATTAGAAATGACAATGTTACTTTTAATAAAACTGTATGTGTTCACACCTTTTTCTCCCAAAGCCATGACATATATAATTTCCACTAGCCCTGGTGCTGCAGAAACAAAATTCATAATCTCTAACTATTTAAAGATTCCACGCACTTTTAACTCACTAAAACATTTATCAAATTAAACATTTAAAAATAAAATAGGCTAGGCCCAGCTTTAAACATTTTTAACTCTTTTAACGTGACCCTAGCTAGCTACACACAAGCTGACCCTGGCTGTGTCTAGTGAAAACTCCACCAGTTACAATTTCAGTGTGACCAAATCCCTAGACCACTGTTCACTCTCACTAGGGTAAAGATGTGAGCACTGGCCCCCCTTGTCACTCCCGAGAAGAAAAGCGACAACTCAAGGCAAAAGACGCTGACAGGTCAGGGCCGTAAGCAGAATAAGCTCTCTGTTTTCACTAGAATAACATCAGGCATCTTCAAGTCTCCCAAGAAGCCATATCCTTTTGGAAACTATAAAATGCAAAATGGTAAAAACACTAGCATGGAGGAAAAGATGATAATTTTTAAACCCTTTAATGCTAGCCAGAAAGCTTCCATGTCCTCCCTGTTATTATCCTTTCTACTGAAACAAAAAATGATTCACCAATATGCCTAACAAGAACACTGAAAAGTAATATAAACTCAGTCATACACTAAAACTTTAATAGAGCAAAAACACAAAACACAAGAAGGCATTCTCCATTATGCACCAAATGTCAAAATTTCAGAACAGAATTAAGGAATTTTACTACCAAATTTTTGAAAGAATACAAATCCAAGTTCTACAGAATAACCAATTAACAAATGTGTCAAGTAGAAAACTCCTGGCCCTACCAATTCTAGCTGGTTCCCAAGATTGCTCCCAATCATGCTGCTGGTGATTCCCTGCTGAGTTCTGCAGGGGACATCTCCCTTGGGGGAACATAGTGGAGTCCTGTTGGGTCACCAAGACCCTCAGCACCTCTGTCATGCAAATGCCTAGCACCACCTCTTCCAGCAAGACATGACTCAAGGATGAACCCTGCAGAAGGACACCGACCAGACTAGGAACAGACTATGAGGCCAACTCCACACCAAGAGCCTCTCAAATCCAGACCAATAATGAAGGTAGCAAGAGCTTCTATGCAGCTATGGAACCCAAGCTCAGCATGTTATCTACGCTTCCCAGCACCAAGGAATGGCAGAGCTATACTCTCAGGAAGCCTGAACACCTACCTACAAAGTGCATCTCCAAGTACAGTCTACTGAAGGATGTCAGATGGAGGCAGAGGAAGGCCTCTGATCACAGTCCTGTTTTGGAAGTAGTTTTAGTTTCACCACTTTTGACTGAGGCATAACTATATGCAGTCAATGGCACAAATGTTATGTAACACATACAGCTCAGAGAATTGTAACAGGGATACAGACGTTTTAACACAAATGCATATACTTAGGGTATTCTAATGGTCAAATGAAGCAATACAGATGTTAAGTGTTTTTTTTTTAACAATTTGAAGATCCAAGGAAATACTGCTTGGCAATATGTTCATAAAGACTCTGACCTCACAAAACAAGCCACCATCTTTCCAGAGTCAGGATTTCTGGTAATGTGAACAACCTACAGGATGTAATCAACAAGGCTTTGATAACTAATACTTTAAGAATTTAGAGCCAGTCGGCCGGGCTCGGTGGCTCAGCGGCTCAGCCTGTAATCGCAGCACTTTGGGAGGTCAAGGTAAGTGGATTGCCTGAGCCAGCAGGTTCGAGACCAGCCCGGACAACTTGGCAAGACCTCGTCTCTACAATAAATCAAAAAAAATTAGCTGGGCGTGGTAGTACACGCCTGTAGTTCTGGCTATTTGGAAGGCTGAGGCGGGAGGATCGCTGGAGCCCAGCAGGTTGACACTGGGGTGACCATGAGTGTGTCACTGTATTACAGCCTAGGCGACAGAGTGAGACTCCAACTCAAAAAAAAAAAAAATTTAGAGCCAGGCATAGCGGTGTATAACTGTGGTTCTAGCTATTGGGAGGCTGAGGTGGGAGGATCACTTGAGCCCAGGAGTTTGAGGCTGTAATTTACTGTAATCCTAATCTGTGAATAGATCTTGCACTCTAGTTTGGGCAACATAGCAGAGATCTGTCTCTTTAAAAAAAAAGAAGTATATTTTCATAGGAGCTAAGCATTTGGAAAAAAAAAATTACAGCAGCTTATAGCTGAAATCCCAGCACTTTGGAAGGTTAGGGTGGGAAGACTGCTTGAGGCCAGGAGTTTAAGACTAGCCTGAACAATGCAACAAGACCCTGTCTCTAAAAAAACAAAAAAAAATTAGCTGGGTGTGATGGCGCACATCTGTAGCTCTAGCTACTTGGGAGGCTGAGGCAGGAGGGTCACTTGAGCCCAGAAGTTCGGGGCTGCAATGATTTGTGATTGTGCCACTCACTCCAGCCTCGGTAACAGAGCAAGATCCCGTCCCTAAAAAAAAAGAAAAAAAATTTAAAACATGTCCTAAAATATTTATCAAGACACTGTATGCTGAGTACTGGTTTTACCCCTGACAAGTTACAACATGACAGAAAGAGAAAGCAAGACAGCAGGTATCACCTCTGCCTCTAGGAAGGACACACAGCCCCATGGAAAGCAAATTTGCCCACATTGAACATATCCACTGCATCAGACCTGCCCCATCAAGCTCCCAGAACCAACCACAAATTCACAGGAAGTAGAGCACAAACAAGCTAAACCATACCATGGACTCACACATATAAGTCAAGCCAAGGGACCCACTGCAGACAGGCATCTGCAGGAGGAGTCAGGACCAAGATTAGGGGACCCTTGACAATTAAACTGCAAAGGGAACATGACCAAGAGGGACCTTTAAAAAAAGAGAGATGAAAGAACATAGGTGTTATGTTAAAGGCACACAGTGTTTAGGGTATTTAGGAAGAAAAGTGAAGAAGTGAACACAAGTTAGGGCTGTGTGAGTCCTGGGGAGTGAGAAGGGGTCATGAGGGTAGTTAGGGGCTGCAAGGTCTTGTCCTCTGACACAAATGATGGTTATAAGGGTGTGTATAATAACTCACTAATCTACACATTTGTTTTATGCAACTTTCTGATTTGCTATTTAAAATAATTTTTTTAAATATGGTATCAGCAAGAGTATATTAAAGATTTTCTCAAGTCTTCCTGAATACATCTAATAAACAAGGTGCCTTCAATTGAAAGATTAACAATTATACATGGCATGCTTTGGTGACAAAGCCTTTGGAGCTATATCAAAAGCAAAGACAGTGATGGACTGGCAATGCCAGGTTATTCTAACCCTTCTGCAAGTCTCAGATTTCCCTCTTTTAGCTTCAGGCAAAATTCAAGGAGGACCAAATTGGAGTTCAGTTAAAAAACATTAGTTTGTGATTTTTCATAAAACCTGGATGAAAAGTTTAAAGCCTAGTACATTCCTAGACAAAACTGCTTATCCAATTTACTTCTATATGTGATCAAGGCTTCCAGCATTCATATCTGTAAAAACAAAAATCAGAAACAGAATTAAGGGTGAAACCATCTAATTTTAACAGTAATATTTGTCTATGGAAAAGGTATCTTGTCTTTTTAAAGTCCCATTTCATTAAGAGATGCATCCACAACTAATGTCACTTATGGTTAATCTACAAGTCATACTTTTGTCTGAGTATACACTAATAATTTTAACAATCCAAATAGGAAGAAACCTTAATGCTTCAGCCCAGCATGACTGGCATACAGATTAGTGTAAGAATAGAGGTGGCAGAAGCAGGTCTGGATGAAGGCCGTATGTCCTAGGTGAAAGATATGAGGCAGTAACAGCTCATCCAGAGTCCACTAGATCATTCTCCAGAGTGATGAGCATACTTTCAACATTCCAGAAACTATACATCTCTGCTATTTGACCATCGGGTGAAAAATGCTAGAGTTCAACTCAAAAAGGTGGAAGGCACTAACTGCTTTTCAAAATTATTCTGGGGGTTCATGTGAGCAAAACAGTTTAAAGAATCCAGAATTAGATGGAATGAGGAAGAGAACAGAAGAACAGCTTCCTAGCTAGAAGACTTGAGCCTCTACCTCAACTTGGACACATGAGTTGAGAGGAAACAGATTCCAAATGAGAAAACTAAGCATAGATTTAAATATTAGAAACAGAGAAAACAGTCCCGGAAGGCTGGACTGAGATGCCAGCAAAGCAATCATGGTGGGCACCTGCTTGTAACAGCTGCTATGCCCCTTTAGGGAAGGATTATAGACAAGTCAGAATCAATACAGAGGAAAAGGACCCATGAGATAAGGTCATCAGAATTCCAAGAACAAATGGAAAAAATGTCCAACATTTGGACTAAAAAAAAAAAAATTCTTAGATTTTTTTTTTTTTTAGTCAAGTCCACATATTGACACATTAGTACTTTAACATGGGAACCACCAAAAGCGTTAAAATGGAATGTGTGGACAGGAAGACTAAATATTGCTAAGATATCAATACACCCAAAGTGATCTACAGAGTCAATGGAAGCCCTATCAAAACCCCAATGATGTTTTCTGCAGAAAGAGAAAAACCTACCCTAAAATTCATATGGAATCTCAAGGAAACTCGAACTACCAAAACAACCTTAACGCTAACAAACAAAAACAAAGCTGGAGGGCTCACATATTCTGATTTCAGAACTCTACAAAGCTACAGTCATCAACACAGCAGGCATATGGCCAAGATAGGAGTCTAACCCAGGCCATCTGGATCCAGCATTCAGAATCCACACCACAGCCAGGCTATCCCCAGCAGAAACTGCAGACATGAAAAGGCATGTCAGAGGTGGCAACCTCACCAACTAGTAAACACGAGTAACTGTGCAACCTTTATGTGATCCAGGAAACGCCAATTAAGACCACAATGAG